AATTTTTCTATATTAGATTTTTTTAGGAAATATATTCATACTAAGTTATTTATTATAAAATGTGTTCTATTGGCTTAATGACACCAGATGAATGCAAAGGCCAACAAGATGTTATTGGAACTTTAAACTTTTTTTTGAAACAATTGTGCAGATAAGCTTTTACAATTCAATTACTTTTAGAAAATCTTAGAGTAGTTACGATAAATGAGTCGCAAGTTGTATAAGGATTTACTTTCAAAATCTGTTTGTTCAGTAGAAAACAAAGAATGTGTGCTTGCACAGTGTGATAATTGCCCTGGTAAAGAAACCCTCACCAAATATTTGTATGAGATTTTTAGAGAGTACAAAGATGATTTTGAGATACACTACAAGCAATGGCAAACTACTGATTGTGCAACATTATTGAGTTTAACATCAGATGTTCCAACATTTGTTGAACTATTAGTATCTTGCTTTGAAAAGCTACAAGCTCATTCTTTTATTGCTCACTTTCAATCACAGTACCTTAACCAACTAAAACAAAATATGGATCAATCAAACATCATTATTGGCAACTTTGCTGAAAATTATACTTTTGTAATCCAAGATGAAATACAAAGTTATTATTTGAACACCCAACAATGTTCTTTACATCCATTAGTGGTATACTATAAAGATGATAAAGGTGTACTGAAACATAATTCTTACTGTTTTATATCAGACAACATTACACATGATGTAACTTATGTGTCCAAATATTTCAACTAATCATACCAATCTTAAAAACAAAATTTTCCACCAATCTTAAAAACAAAATTTTCCACCAATCTTAAAAACAAAATTTTCCACCAATCTTAAAAACAAAATTTTCCAATCTGTCCAAATTACATTTATTCACTCATGGTTGTGCAGGACAGTACAAAAATTGTAAAAGCTTATACAATCTTTGCCAATCTTGAGCAAATTTTTTCCTTAAAGTTGAATGGAACTTTTTTGCCACGTCCCATGGAAAGTCACCATGCAATGGGATTGATGGTACTGTAAAAAGGTTAACAGCGCAAGAAAGTTTAAAACGACAATACAGAAACCAAGTTCTCACATCAGAAGCTATGTATGAATTTTGTATTGAGAAAATCAAGGTTGTTAACTTTATTTAAATAAAGGGAATGGACTTACAATTGCAACGTGAAGAGCAAAAAGAAAGGCACACTGGTGTAACAACTCTACCTGGTATTCGTAGCTTTCATCAATTTATACATCTTGGAGATAACAGGATTGGGGCAAAGAGGCGTAGTACAGACACTAATTATACAATAATCCATAATCTTAAAAAGAAACAAGATGTTTTTCAACTTGATACTGTCACTTTAGGAAGTTATGCAGCTGTAGTCTATGATGATAAGTGGTGGATCGGCATTGTAAATGAAACCAACCTAGAAGAAGTTGATGCTAAAGTGAAGTTTCTTCACCCAAAAGGTCCATCAATCTGTTTTAACTGGCCTGAAAGAGACGGCTACTGTTTTATTCTTAACACCAATATTATTTTAATTATTATAATTAGAAAAAACTATCTGTTCCACAAGTTTGCTCTAGTTCCAGTAGAAACTATGAGTTTTAAAATGCTGAAATAGAAGTCCAAGTAAAATGGGAACAATATTGTGAACTATTACAAACACAGTCAAAATAATTTGCATCTTCAATACCTTTAAAAATCTTGTATATTACAGTACCTTTTATGTTTCAGTTGTTTTTCCAGTTAGATATTTTGTGCCTAGTAAGGTTATAATCAGCTGAAAATATTAACTTCAAAAAAAAAAAAAAAATTGATGGGGGTGTTTTGAGATATTGAGCCCCAAAGTTGGTTTACAGAAACTAGTTGTTTTATTATATTTTAAGCATGTTCTTTTTATATTTCAGCATATTAAGTGCATTTATTGAATTCAGCATCAAAAAAACAATAAATATGTTTATTTTCATATTTTTGCCATTTTTATTTCTTATTTTTTTAAGGAAAATGTTTTTTTAGAATGTAATGAAAACCGGATTATTTTGGGAAACCAGGCCAATATTAAAATTGCAGTATCTCGTCAACCACTAAACATTTTTTCAGTTCACAATAAATATTTTTTTATAATTAGGAATAATGTGTCAAAATATATAACAAAAAGAAGACACATGGTTTAATAGACTAAGTGTTTTGATGTGGAATTACTCTTTTGCTAGTTTTGGAACACCTAATAAGTTCTCAGCGTCTTTTATAGTGACTAATATTGCGTGTAATCAACTTTGTCACAAGTTACAATTATGTCGGATTATAGCTTTCCATCCCAGTGAACAATTAGTGGAATGTCTGGGTTGAAGTTGTTTTTAATTTGCTGTTCTGCAAGATGTGATTTTTTACTCTGAACCTAAAAATTGTGCTTTATGTTAGTTAATAATTATCAATGTTATGGTCCAATCTCTTGTCTGTTTCTGCAATTATAAATGTAGCCTCTATCAGACATTTTAGTTTTGACTAATT